ATAGATAGATAGATAGATAGATAGATAGATAGATAGATAGATAGATAGATAGATAGATAGATAGATAGATAGATAGATAGATAGATAGATAGATAGATGGTTAATTAATACATTTCAGAATAAAACTACGTAAAAGACATTATGTTTCTGAATTTGCTGACATTTCCCAGTCAGTGCCTGTAAACCTCTCATCGCTGTGCCTTTATTACTAATAGGTGAGAACAGATTGTTCTAGAGGTGCATTCAGCTCTGTGGTAGGCAGCCTGAGGCACTTCTCTCTTCATACTTCTCCATTTAATCAGAGACAAAAGGCCAAGGAACAACACTGATGATCCACTCTGTCCTGGATTAATCAGTAGGCGTGTTTAATTTTCTCGTCAGCCTGTGTGTGTGTGTGTGTGTGTGTGTGTGTGTAGCCTGGTTCTATTAAAAGCAAACACTTATTGCCATTTTCTTTGTCAGCGCTCTAATAGTAGGCTATCAGATTGGAACAGTCTACGGTGTACCTGTGCATCAAGGTGTACATGCAGCTCTGTTTCTCTGTGCACATGCATAGACTCACTTGTATTCATTTATGCTTCAAACTGATGCGATGCATTAATGCGTACAGTACGTGATTGTGTGTGTATTGGCCAAACTGCTCCCCCTGCTATTTATTCTGTGCAAGGCCATGTTTACTGTGCTCTTTCTAAATGTCAGCACTGTCAGTCAGGCCCTCCCATAAGCCCCAGTCTGTGCTGTTGGGCCCTTCTTGTGTTTATCTCTGCAGACAGGTGGATTCCAAGGCTACGTCCACACGTACACGGGTATTTTTGAAAACGGAGATTTTCCATTTTCATTTTAAAAAATAATCCCGTCCACACATAAAGGCAGAAATGAAGGAAAACGCTGCGAGGAACATGCCAAAGTAACAGGCGGCGATATATTCCTAACCATGCAGAAATGTTGGCCAATCAGAAGTCTAAGGTACGTGTGGATGTAACCCAAGAGTGACCCTCACCCCCACCACACACAAACACACACACAAACATAAACACCCAAAATATTCTCCATTCATCTGTTCACCCGTTAACTTCCTCGTTCTTTACGTCTTCTCAGTCCTAGCATTCGCTAATCAACTCTGTTCTTTGTTCTTCAGAGGTGAAAAACCCTCACCTCTCTCATCCTAAACAGTCGCACATCCATAAAATGTGAATAAAACACAGGGCTTTGGTTAACCCTGTAGTTGTCTGCCTTCTGCGAACACAATCAAACTAGCTAATCGCATCAACATTGAGCTGTAGTATTGTTGCAAGGCTTGGCCCTCACTCTTCATATGAACCCTGCCAAAGTAATGGAGGCTTAAGTTAACGCATCGCAGGCAGAAAGTCAAAATCTCAACAGATGATCCAAATAATCCATGGAAGGCACGGAAATAATGAACACTATACTTGTGTTACAGTGAAGAGCTAGTTTTTTCCTTGTACTACATTTTAAGCGCAGCAGGGAAGATGCAATGAGGGAAATATTGAGTGGATTTGAGTAAAAGAGCGTAGTGTTCTTCAGGTGAATGTGTTTGGATATGTTTAAGTCGGCATCTGTCGTCCGTGTCTCCTCATAGGTGCGCGTTTGTCTGAAATGCATGGCCCCGTGGAG